TTCTATGGGCCTCAAAGCTGCCGTTTGCCAGCCTGCAAAAGATCCAAACTTCCAAAATTCCAAACACCTTCCCCAACATGCACCCTAGGGCCAAGGCAACTTCCCCAACAGGCACCCCAGGGCCAGGCCACAGCAATGGCTTTCTTAGGCTTTCAAAGCTGCCGTTTGCCAGCCCACAAACCCTCCAAAACTCTCCAAATGCTCCAAACCCTCCAAAACCCGCCAAACCCTCCAAACACCGTCCCCAGCAGGCACCTCAGATCCACAGCAATGACTTTCTATGGGCCTCAAAGCTGCCGTTTGCCAGCCTGCAAAGGATCCAAACTTACAAAATTCCAAGCACCTTCCCCAACATGCACCCTAGGGCCAAGGCAACTTCCCCAACAGGCACCCCAGGGCCAGGCCACAGCAATGGCTTTCTTAGGCTTTCAAAGCTGCCGTTTGCCAGCCCGCAAACCATCCAAAACTCTCCAAAACTCTCCAAACCCTCCAAACCCTCCAAACCCTCCAAACGCTCCTAAACCCGCCAAACCCTCCAAACACCGTCCCCAGCAGGCACCTCAGATCCACAGCAATGACTTTCTTGATGCTTTCAAAGCTGCCTTAACAGGGGGCCAGGGCCACAGCAATGACTTTCTATGGGCCTCAAAGCTGCAGTTTGCCAGCCTAAATTCCAAACACCTTCCCCAACATGCACTAGGGCCAAGGCCACTTCCCCAACAGGCACCCCAGGGCCAGGCCACAGCAATGGCTTTCTATGGGCTTTCAAAGCTGGCTTTCTTAGGCTTTCAAAGCTGCCGTTTGCCAGCCCGCAAACCCTCCAAAACTCTCCAAACCCTCCAAACGCTCCAAACCATCCAAAACCTGCCAAACCCTCCAAACACCGTCCCCAGCAGGCACCTCAGATCCACAGCAATGACTTTCTATGGGCCTCAAAGCTGCCGTTTGCCAGCCCGCAAAGGCTGCAACCCCTCTAAAATTCCAAACACCTTCCTTAACAGGGGGCCAGGGCCACAGCAATGACTTTCTATGGGCCTCAAAGCTGCAGTGTGCCAGCCTGCAAAGGATCCAAACTTCCAAAATTCCAAACACCTTCCCCAACATGCACCCTAGGGCCAAGGCCACTTCCCCAACAGGCACCCCAGGGCCAGGCCACAGCAATGGCTTTCTATGGGCTTTCAAAGCTGGCTTTCTTAGGCTTTCAAAGCTGCCGTTTGCCAGCCCGCAAACCCTCCAAAACTCTCCAAACCCTCCAAACCATCCAAACGCTTTTCCATGGGCCTCAAAGCTGCAGTTTGCCAGCCTGCAAAGGATCCAAACTTCCAAAATTCCAAACACCTTCCCCAACAAACACCGTCCCCAGCAGGCACCTCAGACCCACAGCAATGACTTTCTATGGGCCTCAAAGCTGCCGTTTGCCAGCCTGCAAAGGATCCAAACTTCCAAAATTCCAAACACCTTCCCCAACATGCACCCTAGGGCCAAGGCAACTTCCCCAACAGGCACCCCAGGGCCAGGCCACGGCAATGGCTTTCTTAGGCTTTCAAAGCTGCCGTTTGCCAGCCCGCAAACCCTCCAAAACTCTCCAAACCCTCCAAACCCTCCAAACGCTCCAAACCCTCCTAAACCCGCCAAACCCTCCAAACACCGTCCCCAGGCAGGCACTCAGATTCCACCGCAATGACTTTCTTGATGCTTCAAAGCTGCTTAAACAGGGGGCCAGGGCCACACCAATGACTTTCTATGGGCCTCAAAGCTCCAGTTTGGGGGGCCAGGGCCACAGCAATGACTTTCCATGGGCCTCAAAGCTGCAGTTTGCCAGCCTGCAAAGGATCCAAACTTCCAAAATTCCAAACACCTTCCCTAACATGCACCCTAGGGCCAAGGCCACTTCCCCAACAGGCACCCCAGGGCCAGGCCACAGCAATGGCTTTCTTAGGCTTTCAAAGCTGCCGTTTGCCAGCCCGCAAACCCTCCAAAACTCTCCAAACCCCTCCAAACGCTCCAACCCCTCCTAAACCCGCCAAACCCTCCAAACACCGTCCCAAGCAGGCACCTCAGATCCACAGCAATGACTTTCTTGATGCTTTCAAAGCTGCCTTAACAGGGGGCCAGGGCCACAGCAATGACTTTCTATGGGCCTCAAAGCTGCAGTTTGCCAGCCTGCAAAAGATCCAAACTTCCAAAATTCCAAACACCTTCCCCAACATGCACCCTAGGGCCAAGGCCACTTCCCCAACAGGCACCCCAGGGCCAGGCCACAGCAATGGCTTTCTATGGGCTTTCAAAGCTGCCGTTTGCCAGCCCGCAAACCCTCCAAAACTCTCCAAACGCTCCAAACCCTCCAAACGTCCAAACCATCCAAAACCTGACCAAAACCCTCCAAACACCGTCCCCAGCAGGCACCCCAGATCCACAGCAATGACTTTCTTGAGGCTTTCAAAGCTGCCGTTTGCCAGCCCGCAAAGGCTGCAACCCCCCCAAAATTCCAAACACCTTCCCCAACAGGGGGCCAGGGCCACAGCAATGACTTTCTATGGGCCTCAAAGCTGCAGTTTGCCAGCCTGCAAAGGATCCAAACTTCCAAACACTTTCCCCAACATGCACCCTAGGGCCAAGGCAACTTCCCCAACAGGCACCCCAGGGCCAGGCCACAGCAATGGCTTTCTTAGGCTTTCAAAGCTGCCGTTTGCCAGCCCGCAAACCCTCCAAAACTCTCCAAACGCTCCAAACCCTCCAAAACCCGCCAAACCCTTCAAACACCGTCCCCAGCAGGCACCTCAGATCCACAGCAATGACTTTCTATGGGCCTCAAAGCTGCCGTTTGCTAGCCTGCAAAGGATCCAAACTTCCAAAATTCCAAACACCTTCCCCAACATGCACCCTAGGGCCAAGGCCACTTCCCCAACAGGCACCCCAGGGCCAGGCCACAGCAATTGCTTTCTTAGGCTTTCAAAGCTGCCGTTTGCCAGCCCGCAAACCCTCCAAAACTCTCCAAAACTCTCCAAACCCTCCAAACCCTCCAAACGCTCCAAACCCTCCAAACAAACAAACCGGCCCAAGCAGCACCTCAGATCCACAGCAAGACTTTCTATGAGCTTTCAAGCTGCCGTTTGCCAGCCTGCAAAGGATTCCCAACTTCCTTCCAAAATTTCCAAACACCTTCCCCAACATGCACCTAGGTCCAAGGCAACTTCCCCAACAGCAACCCGGAACCCCCAGGGCCAGGCCACAGCAATGGCTTTCTTAGGCTTTCAAAGCTGCCGTTTGCCAGCCCGCAAACCCTCCAAAACTCTCCAAAACTCTCCAAACGCTCCAAAACCCGCCAAACCCTTCAACCTCCTAAACCCGCCAAACCCTCTCAACCCCGTCCCAGAGTCACCTCAATCCACAGCAATGACTTCTTGATGCTCTCCAAAACTCTCCAAAACTCTCCAAACGCTCCAAAACCCGCCAAACCCTTCAAACACCGTCCCCAGCAGGCACCTCAGATCCACAGCAATGACTTTCTATGAGCTTTCAAAGCTGCCGTTTGCCAGCCTGCAAAGGATCCAAACTTCCAAAATTCCAAACACCTTCCCCAACATGCACCCTAGGGCCCAGGCAACTTCCCCAACAGGCACCCCAGGGCCAGGCCACAGCAATGGCTTTCTTAGGCTTTCAAAGCTGCCGTTTGCCAGCCCGCAAACCCTCCAAAACTCTCCAAACGCTCCAAACCCTCCAAAACCCGCCAAATCCTCCAAACACCGTCCCCAGCAGGCACCCAGATCCACAGCAATGACTTTCTTGACGCTTTCAAAGCCGCAAAGGATCCAAACTTCCAAAATTCCAAACACCTTCCCCAACATGCACCCTAGGGCCAAGGCAACTTCCCCAACAGGCACCCCAGGGCCGGCCACAGCACTGGCTTTCTTATGCTTTCAAAGCTGCGTTGCCAGCCGCACCCTCCAAAACTCTCCAAACGCTCCAAACCCCTCCAAAACCCCTCCAAAACCCGTTCAAACACCGTCCCCAGCAGGCACCTCAGATCCACAGCAATGACTTTCTATGGGCCTCAAAGCTGCCGTTTGCCAGCCTGCAAAGGATCCAAACTTCCAAAATTCCAAACACCTTCCCCAACATGCACCCTAGGGCCAAGGCAACTTCCCCAACAGGCACCCCAGGGCCAGGCCACAGCAATGGCTTTCTTAGGCTTTCAAAGCTGCCGTTTGCCAGCCCGCAAACCCTCCAAAACTCTCCAAAACTCTCCAAACTCTCCAAACCCTCCAAACCCTCCAAACGCTCCAAACCCTCCTAAACCCGCCAAACCCTCCAATCACCGTCCCCAGCAGGCACCTCAGATCCACAGCAATGACTTTCTTGATGCTTTCAAAGCTGCCTTAACAGGGGGCCAGGGCCACAGCAATGACTTTCCATGGGCCTCAAAGCTGCAGTTTGCCAGCCTGCAAAGGATCCAAACTTCCAAAATTCCAAACACCTTCCCCAACATGCACCCTAGGGCCAAGGCAACTTCCCCAACAGGCACCCCAGGGCCAGGCCACAGCAACCCCAGGGCCAGGCCACAGCAATGGCTTTCTATGGGCTTTCAAAGCTGGCTTTCTTAGGCTTTCAAAGCTGCCGTTTGCCAGCCCGCAAACCCTCCAAAACTCTCCAAACCCTCCAAACCCTCCAAACGCTCCAAACCATCCAAAACCTGCCAAACCCTCCAAACACCGTCCCCAGCAGGCACCTCAGACCCACAGCAATGACTTTCTATGGGCCTCAAAGCTGCCGTTTGCCAGCCCGCAAAGGCTGCAACCCCTCTAAAATTCCAAACACCTTCCTTAACAGGGGGCCAGGGCCACAGCAATGACTTTCTATGGGCCTCAAAGCTGCAGGTTGCCAGCCTGCAAAGGATCCAAACTTCCAAAATTCCAAACACCTTCCCCAACATGCACCCTAGGGCCAAGGCAACTTCCCCAACAGGCACCCCAGGGCCAGGCCACAGCAATGGCTTTCTTAGGCTTTCAAAGCTGCCGTTTGCCAGCCCGCAAACCCTCCAAAACTCTCCAAACCCTCCAAACGCTTTTCCATGGGCCTCAAAGCTGCAGTTTGCCAGCCTGCAAAGGATCCAAACTTCCAAAATTCCAAACACCTTCCCCAACAAACACCGTCCCCAGCAGGCACCTCAGATCCACAGCAATGACTTTCTATGGGCCTCAAAGCTGCCGTTTGCCAGCCTGCAAAGGATCCAAACTCCCAAAATTCCAAACACCTTCCCCAACATGCACCCTAGGGCCAAGGCAACTTCCCCAACAGGCACCCCAGGGCCAGGTGTTTTCCCATCCGGGGACCAGCAGCAGCAGCAGCAAAAGCTTCTGCAGCAGCAGGAGTAGGCAGCAGCAGGCAGCAGCCAGCACCAGCAGCAAAAGCCTCTGCAGCAGCAGGAGTAGGCAGCAGCAGGCCGCAGCCAGCACCAGCAGCCAGCAGCAGGCAGGAAAAAACATGAGGTTACAATGACAGTCCTAAAAACGGAGGGTCCTTGCCACTCAAAGTATATATCAATCCATCCGTCTTTCTTCCTATGCCACTATCTGTCTATCCAACAATCGATCTATCCATCTGTTTATCCAACTGTCTATCTACCTATCTGTCATCTATCTCTCTCTCTCTCTTTCTCTCTCTCTCCCTCTCTCTCTCTCTGTCCCTCTATCTATACATCTGTCCAACAATATCTATCCACCTGTTTATCAAGCTGTCTATCTACCTATCTATCAATCTATCTCTCTCTCTCTATCCCTCTATCTATCCATCAATCTATCATCTATTCACATGTCTACCTGTCTGTCTGTCTGTCTGTCTATCTATCCATCCATCCATCCATCCGTCCATCCGTCCATCCATCCATCCATCCATCCCCATCCATCTATCGATCCATCCATCTCTCCCTCTCCTCTCTCTCTCTCTCTCTCTCTCTCTCTCCCTCTCTCTCTCTCTCTCTCTCTCCACAGTCCCCCCCAAATAAAGGGGGGTCGGCGGCACCTGGGCGCTAGCCCATTCTATTGTGGTTTCTCCAGTAATGTTTTTTCAACTTTGTTTTGTCACTTTCTGTGGGTTCTACATCCATCAAAGGTACATAAGGGGGTTCCGAGAATTTCCCCTAAACGCATTCCCGGATTCTCCATCAAGGGAGCTGTTTGCGGCAACTTCCTTGCCCTGAGCTCTGAACAGAGAAATTGATAAAGAGTGGGATGATGGATTCTGGAGCATCCTTCTGCAACCACAACCTGAAGCAGAAGAAAAATTAAAATACCATGCCAAGTATGACTGAGTGTTGTTAAATTCAATGCTGGCTATCCATATTGACCTGAAGCAAGACAGTTAGGCCCGGGGCGACAAGTACACGGACTTTCCAGTCCCTGTCTCGCCAGCCACAATGACATGCTTGTCCTCCAGATTGACAAAGCATCACGGCCGAACCACCACGAAATTGGTCTAACAAAGAGAGCAAGGAGAGAGGACAAACCACTTGACTCATTTTGCCGTTGAAGTGTTCAACAAAAGCAGAGGCATCCAGTCCTTCAACAGGAGAGTGGAGAAGGTGTGCGTCAAACGGATGGAGTCCACGGTTGGCCTTGCCAGGTTGAGACGACAGAACTACACTAGTCGTCATTGCTCACAGCAAAGCTCAGTGCTGCAAATGAAAAGTAAGGCCAACACACAACGATATTCTGATACTCAGAGCCTGGGAAAAGAACAGCTTGCAGAATTGCACACTTTACGCAATGAATTAAAGGCCCCGTCCAAGATCACTCAAGCGGGGACTGTCTGAAAAGCTCCAAAGCTAAGGGATCAACGTGGAGGCACCGTATACTTGGGCGCCTCAATTGGCCGAACCCTGAATATCTGCAGCACATTGCACCAAATGTCTTTCCCTGAGGCTGCGCACGAAGGTCAACCAGGGCGTCCATTGGCCTTCTCTTTCACCCTCAGCCAGCAAGACATAGCCAAACTATGTACAGTAGAACCATGTGACATCAATGATGATCCTTGCCATTGACCAGCCTCAAGCTCGTAGATGAAGTCGTACCTCATGCCCAACAATTCAAGGTGCAGACTTAGTTCTACATGGACTTCAACAGGCTTGATCCAGTCCACAAAAAGGAAGATATGGGCCGAGCTGCTCCACTGCAAAAACACAGAGATGATTCAGATATGCACGGCAAAATATGAACTGATCAAGGTCTGTCAAGTTCACCTGAGTGTTGCCAAGCCACCAAAATATGCTGCTGTCCAGCTTGCCTCCGACCTGCTCGCAAACTGACACATTCTGCGGAGACAAACCCATCACCTGGCGTCCTACGTGGGCGTGTCTGAAAATGGGGTGCATTTTCATACAGCATCAGTATACCCCAAAAATAGTGATTTTAAGACAAAAAAAGATGATTAACTCCACACGCTCAAAGCAATCGGCATCCCCACGCGCCTCAACCCCCTTCTCCTTCACCAACTCCCATAGCTTCTCCTAGGCTGTCACCCACCATGTCAACGCGTGAACACTTCCACTCGAGCAGCCCAAACCACCTTTGGGGATGGGAAAGTCTTGGAAAGTCAGCAGTGCAGGCGAGCTGCATTGAAGATCTGACGCCCCTTGTTGTCACAAGTTGCACCTCAATCAACAACTATTGCCTGTTGACCCGCAAAGACTGCAAAGACTATCAGTTGACAGTCTGAGGAAGATCGAATTGTGCAGTTTAATGTATTAATATCATAAACCCAATAATAGACAACCCCCAAATTCACCAGATATGGGTCGTGTAAACCCTCCAAACTTGTAGGTTTATTGTTGGGTGCATCACATTGCCTGCTTCAGGCAATAACTGAAGTCTCTTATCTCAGCACTTCACCCACAGACCAAACCAGCGTGAAAAAGTAGAGCGGCACCAAGTGCGACCTAAAAGGCTCTGGCGAAGCCAGCGAATTCCAAAACCAAATGGATTGCATCATTTACAACAAATCTCTCTGCAAAAGGACAAAACTAAGACAACAATATAATAGACCCTCAAGCGCTATCCAGCGCCTATCGATGGAAGGAAAACTTGGGCACAATGGGGTGCAACAAGCCAAGTTTCTCAACTTTGAAATGATCCAACAATCCAACACAGTCCCTCCACGGTCTGAGACGGCAACTGCAATTTGTTGATCTCATCAGGGCTCGGTGTCTTCGCTTCAGTTGGAATGTAGGCCGAAAAGTAGCAATCCATCAACCTGAGAGGTTGCCCTTTCACATTTGCATCATGCAATATGGCTATAGGTCAAATTGGATACCCCAATCACTAGATGGTTGATAAGTTAATACTCAACATCTACATCATTCTACTTCTACATAGTTACTATATCATCTGTGGTCCCCCCCTGACTTCAATGTTGACCCATCCCCATCCCCATCCCGTCATCGCTGCCTGAAGTGCGACTGGCAAATGTTGTTGTCCACCGTCATGGACGGTTCCTTCGTCTGCTTGCGCACGATTCGGATCATCGGCAGGGTGAAATCCTGGGCGAAAGGGGCCTCACAGAATACCTGCAGTTAAAGCCCTAGAAACCAATCATAAATAGTTATAAATGGTTCATTAAATGGTTACTGTAAATAAATGGTTAAATAAATGGTTAAATAACTGTTCAAAAGTGTTTATTCCCTACACTGGTTAACATACATAGTTATAATAAACTACGATAAACTAAATGGTTAAGATACGCTATTGTCTCGTCACTATTCTGTTATCATTCCAAAAAGGTGTGGTTATCAAAACCGACGCATAAACCTGGGGTAAAAGGGCCATAACATGCCATTTTAACCGTATGCCCCAAAGGGGGTTTTAAACATTCATCATTATTTACACACTAATGACAGCCATAGAGAATAGCAAACGAAATCCCCCACTATTAATCACCATGATACCATTAAATCACTATTCAATCACCAGTTCATCCTATTAAATTCACGGCATTAATCGCACTATTAATTAATATCACCATTAATCACTATTAAATCACCATTAGTCAACTAGTAATCACCATTAATCACTAATTAATCACCATTAATCACTTTAATCAACCATTAATCACCATTAAATCACCATTAATCACTATTAAATCACCATTAAATCACCATTAAATCACCATTAATCACTATTAAATCACCATTAAATCACCATTAAATCACCATTAAATCATCATTAATCACTATTAAATCACCATTAAATCACCATTAATCACTATTAATCACCATTAATCACTATTAATCCCCATTAATCACGCATTAAATCACTAATAATCACCATTAAATCACTAATTATGACTCATTACGCACTATTATGGTACACCTCAATGCACCATTAATCACCATTAATCACCGTTAAACACCATTAATCACCATTAATCACCATTAATCACCATTAAACACCATTAATCACCATTAATCACCATTAAACACCATTAATCACCATTAATCACCATTAAACACCATTAATCACCATTAATCACCATTAATCACCATGAATCACCATTAATCACCATTAATCACCATTAATCACCATTAATCACCATTAATCACCATTAATCACCATTAATCAAAATTAATCACCATTAATCACCATTAATCACCATCAATCACCATTAATCACCATCAATCCCCATTAATCACAATTAATCACCATTAATCACCATTAATCACCACTAAGCACCATTAAGCACCATTAAGCACCATTAATCACCTTTAATCACCATTAATCACCATTAATCACCATTAATCACCATTAATCACCATTAATCACCATTAATCACAATTAAGCACCATTAAGCACCATTAAGCACCATTAAGCACCATTAAGCACCATTAAGCACCATTAATCACCATTAATCACCATTAATCACCATTAAGCACCATTAAGCACCATTAATCACTATTAATCACCATTAATCACCATTAATCACCATTAATCACCATTAATCACTGTTAATCACCATTAATCACTATTAATCACCATTAATCACTATTAATCACCATTCACCATTAATCACCATTAATCACCATTAATCACTATTAATCACCATTAATCACTATTAATCACCATTAATCACCATTAATCACTATTAATCACCATTAATCACTATTAATCACCATTAATCACTATTAATCACCATTAATCACTATTAACCACCATTAATCACTATTAACCACCATTAATCACTATCACTATTAACCACCATTAATCACTATTAATCACCATTAATCACTATTAATCACCATTAATCACCATTAATCACTATTAATCACCATTAATCGCTATTAATCACTATTAATCACCATTAATCACTATTAATCACCATTAATCACTATTAACCACCATTAATCACTATTAATCACCATTAATCACTATTAATCACCATTAATCACTATTAATCACCATTTATCACATTAATCACCATTAATCACCATTAATCACTATTAATCACCATTAATCACTATTAACCACCATTAATCACTATTAACCACCATTAATCACTATTAATCACCATTTACACTATTAATCACCATTAATCACTATTAATCACCATTAATCACTATTAATCACCATTAATCACTATAACCCCATTAACACTATTAACCCACCCTTAATCACTATTAGCACATTAATCACTATTAATCACCATTATCACTATTAATCACCATTAATCACTATTAACCACCATTAATCAACTATTAAACCCACCATTAATCACTTTATCACCATTGAAGCCTATTAATCACCATTTAATCCACCATTAATCACGATGATCACCATGATCACTATTAATCATCTATTATCACCATTAATCAATTTAATCACCATTAATCCACTATTAACCACCCATTAATCACATTAAACCACCATTTACTCACTATTAACCACCATTAATCCCTATTAATCACAATTAATCACTATTAATCACCATTAATCACTATTAATCACCATTAATCACTATTAACCACCATTAATCACTATTAACCACCATTAATCACTAATCACTATTAACCACCATTAATCACTATTATTCACCATTAATCACTATTAATCACCATTAATCACCATTAATCACTATTAATCACCATTAATCGCTATTAATCACTATTAATCACCATTAATCACTATTAATCACCATTAATCACTATTAACCACCATTAATCACTATTAACCTCCATTAATCACTATTAATCACCATTAATCACTATTAATCACCATTAATCACTATTAATCACCATTAATCACTATTAACCACCATTAATCACTATTAATCACCATTAATCACTATTAACCACCATTAATCACTATTAACCACCATTAATCACTATTAACCACCATTAATCACTATTAATCACCATTAATCACTATTAATCACCATTAATCACCATTAACCACCATTAATCACTATTAACCACCATTAATCACCATTAATCACTATTAACCACCATTAATCACCATTAATCACCATTAATCACTATTAATCACCATTAATCACCATTAATCACTATTAATAACAGTACTTAATAACCAAAGTTACAACTGGGAGCAGAGCGCATCACTGTCCCTGAGGACGCGACCAACATCAGCTCCTTGAGTTTTTCACACATCTCCTGCAGGATTTCTCTATCGGAAAACCCCTAACGTCAGGTCCAATCAAAAAGACACGGAAGAAATCAAAAGCACCTTTGAACAATTTTATATATACAATCATATATAAATAATTATAAATATAATATACTTATAAATTATAACAACTATATATAGTTGGAGCTCTGACCATGTTTCAACAATTCTCAACTTAAGGGTGAAAAGTTCACCCCAGCTTTCCATGTCCATTTCCTCTTTCGCATCCCTCCCAGGCTTCTGTCCGGCTTGAAGGTGGAAGGTAGTCGCTCGGCCCATGACCTCACATGTCACTCTGCACAAGAGCTGTGCCCGAAGGTGGCTTTGTCTGAGACTTGGGTACCCCAAACTCCCCTCGATTATCATGATTCTCATCATTTTCCTTATTCGTGTGGCTATCCCATTTTTAGAGACACCCACCTAGTAAATGGCCTTGCCCATTTGGTGTTGCCGGTCACCGGTATTACATAGCCCTCCAGTCAGTGCCCGACTGAATCAATGGCTCGTTTCCAAGGGCTGACGGTTCCATGTAAACCTCGGGATCAGGTGGAGATGGATGAAGCCATGGTCCCAGAGGCTATTGACTTTAATATATCCAGTGTCTGGTGTCTCGAGTGAATATAGATGATATAGATTGATATATAGATGTATATTAGACTTTTTTTCCTTGAAACATTGTTACTTATAGTAACTTTAGTAATTTGAGTATTGGATCTCTTCATTTTTGGGACCTTGATTTTGGGCATCTGAGGACCTCACCATACCACATCGACTCACCGTGGCAGGCGATGCAACCGACAGGTCCTCCACTTCAAAGACCATCCTGCCGAGGCAACCAACACCAGAGTGGTTTCTGGGGAATGTTAGTTGAATACTAGTTGGATGATGTTGGATGGGATTAGGAGTATTAGGAAGTTACAAAAATGTTAAAAATCCTTATTAAATATGATTGAAAAAATAAACCATTCAGCCTTTGGCGGGGATGAAAATCGGTGACTTAATGACCCAAACCCATTTGGATTTGATGTACTTCGATACCCAGCAGCAGGATGGCCCACCTCATCTGCGGTGTGAGCGAAATGATCTCTCCGGAAGTGAGGCAAAGCTTCTTGTTGTCGTCCAGCACGGTGTTCATGGACCTCGGCAGCTGTGAGCTCATCATCTTAAGAATCTTTCCCATCATTGGGCATATGGTGCAAGATTTTATAGATCAAAAATTGATGAAACATTGAAAACATCATGAGAAATAATCCAGAAATGAGTTTGGATCTGGAATTTCGTATCAAGAGAAAGCTTTGCAAAGTCAATGAAGGTCCTCCAATTGTCGAATCCACTGCCCTCTGCGACTCCGGGCTCGATCCAAAGAGCATCGACAGGTCCATCGAAAATCACCTGGGAGGAAAAGGCAGACCCATGGCAGATCCATCGACAGATCCATACAGATTGCATCCCTCTAAGGCATCAACCCAGTGGTTGTCGGGCACTCCTGACTTTCCACTGGCCACAGCAGTTCGCACCTTGCTGACCCCATGTTTTGTTCATCGGTTTGCTGGCCCTACGTTTTGAGGCTCCCTGAGTGCATTCTACCTAGACCGTCGCACGTGATCATTGCTCCTGCAAATTGAGTAGTCTGGTCCTAAAAATAAGCTGTCACGATGCTAATCCAATGTGCAAATTGGATCTGGAGAGAGTTGAATCCTCAATTATATACGTATATTGTATAAAGTGCTTCAAGTGCAAGACTTGAAAGACAACACCACACACATAAATATGGTAACAAGATGTAACAGTATCAACTCTATCTTTATGTGCAAAACGGCAACCTTTTATTGAAAAACCGACCAAAAATTATGAAAAATGCCCGGCCCAAAAGCCAAAGAAGCCCCAACAAAGTCCCTTCATGGTGTTTAGATCAACTTGCTGTTGGTCAGTCTCTTCATTTGTTGGCTGAGTTTCATAGATTAACAGTCCCTTTGGTAGCCGATTCTTTGAGCCACACTGACACCCATGTAGCGCCACATCCCATCTTGAGCTTGCCACGCATTCACTTGCCACTCCATCCGACCACTCACGTGTCACTTCATCGAAAGCCCCGTAGAGCTGTGCCTGCAGTTTCCACCAGGCTACTATAGTACTCCCAAACCAATCATCTAGTTATTGACAGTTCTCCCATGACATCTCAGTATATCAACAGATAATGATCCAAGTTTGGATTACAGCAAAAGCGTTGACACAATTGACATATGTCTTACAATGTCTTACAATGTCTTACAATAATTTCTCCAGTACTCTGACCCAGTCGCCTGTGTGATGGCTTTGGGGTTCAAGATGTGGGTCTGAACCTTCTGGTACTTTGTGTCGCCAGCCTTTCAAGGTCCGAAAACACACTGCAGCTTGACAGGTTGTGCACATCACGTGCCGAATTCTGGGAATCGCAAACAAAGCAGGCACATCGGTTTCTTGGTCTCATGAGAAACATTGCACAAGAATCTTTTGCAAGCGCTTTGGTTCGTCACCAAAGCCAGAATGCCTCACACATCGCAATGGAGGTTGCTTGAAGCAAACGGTAGTTGCAGGTCTTACCACCTGCAGTGCTCGGACTGAAAAAACACTGGGCTTGGAGCTACCCCAGAATCGTGACCCAACCGCCTTCACAACGATTCAAAACCCAAATGGATGCTGAGGTTTGAAACAGCAGTTCGGTCAGTTCGGTCTTTCAACCCAACACTATATCCAACCAAAGAAAAAACAATTGTTCAAGACTCTCTGCGGTCCCTTTACACTGGCTGGCAGGATTTCCCAGTTCATGGATTAAAATCCCCAATGACTATTGGCTAGTATAATCCCCAAACATTTTTCATCAACCAACATCAACCAACGTTTATCTGGCTGATATTATCCCCATATTTCTGGATGATCTCCCCATCCAAAAATGGTGGGGACCCCCTCGGCCCCCACCAGCATGGCCTCCGGTTGGCCCCACCAGCATCAAACCGTGGCGCACCCCGATGGTGTCAATGAGCTGCACCACCTGTTGGGAATGCTGACGTCTTGCGGTTATGATATGGAATTGATAACTGTAATGATAGTGGCAGTAGTAATGATAGGAACAATATATAGATGATAATACTAGTAAGAAGTAATAATCATCTAATACGGTATAACAAGACCGTATTAACAAATGGCAAAGTTTTGCAGAATTCTTGTTGGGGATGTTGAGTTTTGACTCCCATATCATTTATACAATGCCTTGATGGTGAAGTTTTCCGTGAGCTGCAGATTCTGCTCCTGGAACAGCAAATTGCCATAGAACAAAATGTGGGAATCTTTGCACTGACATGTGTGTTCTGACACACATGTTATACCTGCAAAAATTGTTGAGCTGGAGTTCATATTCATGACCAGTATGCAACACTTTTTTGAAGTTATTACACAACAGTTTTTGATCGGTATCCATGTTGGACGGACATCAACCAATATGTGACTTGCCAAAACACAGAGTCCAACAACCTGCCGTTGAGGCCGTTGAGGTCAAAAACGCTCCTTCCCGCAGGCTTCCATCACTGGCGTGAGATTGCCGTACTCCACGACTGGCCGATCTGTCTCGGGGAACAAGTCGGAGATGATGTTCCTTGGCTGTGCTGACCAGGCTTGATCCGCTCTGCGGTACAATATTATATATATATATATACATATATGTTATATATATATAATATATATATATACATCATCTACAGTATGGGAATATGTAGTAGAATTAATGGCTATACTATTAGTATATATCCCATGGATATTTGTTGGTTCATATGTATGGAACTTATGGATATTTTGGTTGATATTTATGGGAATCTGTATTGCAGAGTGGCAGGATGACCAATGGTCCAAACAAATGAGGTCCTGACTCGAACAGGGGCAAGTCGTCCTGGCAGCTCACAAGTGACATCTTGCCGCATCTTGCGATCTTTCTGGAGGCTTGCCAGAAAATGAGGGGACAACTAGAAAACCAAAAAAAAGAGAGGAATGAGGAATGATGAAAAATGTATAAAAATGTCAGTTTACAATTGGGTAGCCTGAAATCTCATGATTGATCATCATTTCAATCATTTCCCATTCAAAATAAACATCTTCTCCATGTTTTCCCTGCCATTTCTGCCTTCAAGAACTTGGGCACGTTGACGTCCCTCAGAGCTCGCAGGGTGATTTGATCTTCTGGGAGATCGCCCACCTGACAGGAAATTTCGAATGCTGAAAATCAAGGCTGTTTCATGTGGGATTCACCCAATGCCATAAATAAATATAAATAACTATTCTTTGGATTATTGATGGTTAAAATGGTTAAAATCCGACCCATTTGTGGTCATATTGGGGATGGTCGAATATTGGGTTTAGTACATTACGCAGTGTTTGCTCCTTACAGTAACCCAACGGGACAGGCTAAGCAGGCTACGCAGGCCTCGCGCTTGAGTTTGCCGCACATTTCAATGGTACTCTTGACGGCTCGCATGCCGTAATCGTAGTGAAACCTGGGCGGATCAGAAGATGGTTCCAGCAGGGTCCAAGATGTCCAACTGACACGTCCCAGCAGCTATTGTGCTTTTCCCATCAAGAAAACTCAGCTTTTGGCTGTGAGGACAGCTGCTCTGATGAAAGGGTAAACGTGGTCACCTAAGTGCAAGTTCCGAAGGCTCTAGTTCTTCCGCTCATCATTGAGTGCAAACCAAATCAAGGAAGGTGATTTCCAGTTTGACATGGACAAGATCCCAAAGGCTCCGGCCATTTTCTTTGCCAACACCTTGGCTTCCGTAAAGCCGTAGGCATAGAACCTGCAGCAAGGCTGCAATCTGTGGTGGCCAGCACACCCCCAATCCCCAGTGCAAAAATTGAGAAGGAGCTCTTCAAGCTTTCTGGCATGCAGGGCTTGTCTGAAAACAACGGAAAAAAAAACTCCAAAACTCCAAAATCCATCAATTCCAGCAGTATCCCAGGTTCTATCATAATTTTCCCCATTACATAGTCATCCCGAGTCATCCCTGGATCTCACCCCCATTTTTGGGACCAACCCATGACTGGAGCTCCGGCATAATCTCGCCAATCAGGGCGTAGTCCGGAACCATCATGGCCTTAGTGACTTGGTGATGTGCGAAACGCCAAGTATTAAGGTCAGCCTAGAAATTTCTAGAAATGGGTCTTCTTGAAACCATTCGCGGTTCATATAAATTTCGGTGTTATCAGAAGTTTATCCATCCCAAAAATTAGAGGATTAGAGTTTCTTACTTGGGACTTGGGTTCATCAGAAAAAACAGCCTGTGCCAGAGTGGGATGAGTCATCAACTTTCATGATGAACATTGGATGGAGGTCCACAACAACCAGCTCCTTAAGATGTGCGCCAAGGTAACCAAGGTAACCTAGCTACCAGGATCTTGGCGTGATCCCTGGCAAAAGCTGCTTCCCTGAGCCACCAGCCACCGGTCTGAAAAGCGCAGCCAGGTTATCTGGAAGTTCTGCGCGACCAGCGTAACCTGCGGCTCCAGAGCCTCTTGAAATGGTTGTGTCTCAAAATTGGGGTCCCCGCAAACGCACGCAATTTTTTTCCATTCAAAACTGCCAATAACTTGGATATAGATTTTGGGAAAGCCTCATGTTAGGAAACTCCCCACTTGGGGATCCAAAACAACCAGAGCCATCAAACCAAACCATCAGGCCTGGATTCATTGTGATGAAGACGTTGAAGGTGGGCTTCATGACCTCATCGAACAGCATGGAACAGCATGGAACAGCTAACCTCTGACCCAAAAACTAAGAGTATCACGATGAGAGTTCCTTCGAACTCAAGCTCCACGGTTTCATTGTAGCTCCCAAGCCTCGTTGCGTTGAAGCAGGCAAATACTGATCCAAGAATAGGATCCCAAGATATCCCAAGCCAACTTCATCTTTGAATCAGGCATCTGATGCCCTTTAACACCAATGGCTAAAAGCTCGGAGCGTCCATAAGTGTAGAGTCTATAGAGTCTATATAGATATATATTGTATTTGCGGAAGCATTGTGAGCTCAACAGAATGGTCAATTGCCTTGATCAAAGGCAACCAGCTGTTTAGCCAAGGAGCTCTGCTTTTCGGCCTCAGCAGCACATTACCAGGTCTCCCTGATTCAATGCTCAGGATGACAGCTGTAAGCCAAGTTACCAAAGAGTACCATGAGCTGCTGCGCGATGACAGAAAGGACCTGCAAATTGGCGAAACAAGGTGACCTTATACCATTCAAACATGACTGGATTGTAAAGGCTGGGAAAGGCTGGGAAATTCCAGTCTTAATGGGAAGATCATTCATAAATGGACGGTCCTTTGCCAGCTTAGGTCACCGAAGGCTGGTTGCAGCCGATGTTGACTTCATCATATGACACTAGTCACCACTAGCAAAACGATGCAGAACGCATGACCAATCCAAAGCCGGCCTCAATGTTGATGCGGTTGAACTCGTCAAAGCAACACCATGCACCGGAAAATGCCAAGCCTTCAGAGGTCGGACGCATTTCCCAAGCATTTTCCAAGCTGGTGGCTGATGCCCACATGCACGGCACCTTTGAAGAATTTCCCCACCATGATGTAGTCCATCTCAGGTGAGCAGTTGAAGACCACGCACTGCTTCGCAAGTGCCTGCAGAATACGTCGACCATGTGTGAGTTGTGTGTGCAAGTGTGTCTGTGTCTCTAGAAATATATAGACATATACAAAATATATAAATACTTTAGAAATATATAGAAATATATAGAAATATATAGAAATACTTTAGAAATATATGCATATCATATGTATAATGTATATATCAACACAAATACTGTGTACATTTATTATATGGTTCCCATAATATATGTCTGGCTAACTGCAGTGAGAACTCCATGTATTGAGCTATGCGGAAACCTCGGTCAAGAGCCTTGGCCAAATCCTTCGTCGTCTCAGTCTTTCCTGTACCAGCTGGTCCGGCCTTAGGAATTGCTTAAACCATGGATTTTCCATGGATTTTCCATGGATTTCCCATGAAATATGGGGGATTCCTGTCTCTTAACAGCAAGGACCGTTTTCCCTGCACTTGAAAGAAAATGCCTGTAAAAGCACGTCCAATGGTTCTATGATCCTATGTGCTCAGACTCCCCCAAATTGCTGTTGCAATTTCGTTGGAGAAGTTTCTTGGTGAAAATAGATCTTACCAAAATGTGACACTTTGTTGTGTCCAGGCTCAAGGCATTTAATTAGGACCCTCTCTTTGCTCAGACCTCCGTTGATGATACATCTGGGCCATGGAGGTTGAGTTGAGGCCCTTCCCTTTGTGCGCGTGCTGGAAGTGATTCCAAGGGTTTGTCCCTTTCGGACCATCTCTATGTTCCCCTTTTGAATCTTCTTCCCATGAAATACTGCCTACGCTACGCTCATCGAGAGCTCCCATACCGCTCTCAGCCTCAGCCGCAGCACTTCGCTCAGCAGCAGGCTCTCCCGCCGCAGATGCCACGCTTAAGCCCGACCGTCGCATTGAAGTCATTGACGGATCGCGCTCTCCACTGCTAGAGCCCGACTGTCGCCTCAAAGTTGATGAGAGACCATGCTCACCACTGCATGAGCCCGACTGTCGCCTCAAAGTTGATGAAAGATCATGCTCACCACTGCATGAGCCCGACTGTCGCCTCAAAGTTGATGAAAGATCATGCTCACCACTGCATGAGCCCGACTGTCGCCTCAAAGTTGATGAAAGATCACGCTCACCATCATTCAATCGTTTCGCCCCAAACTTTGCAGATGCTTTCTTCGAAGCGCTTGCTGCATTCCTTTTGGTAGCTAAACCCTTTGACATAGTATGCCCAGTGCTAAGGCCCGACTGTCGCCGCAAACTCATTGAAGATGCGCCACACTTTGACCCTCTCATCGATGTCTCATTGTCCGACACCAACAGGGCACTTTCACCATCACTGGAGTCTTCATGAACTCCTCTCATGCTTGGTCTACGACCACTGCTACCCTCCAGCGCCATCAATCTTCGCAGGCAGTGACTTGCCACACCATGAATCACCTGTCCAGCATAGATTGCTCCCAGCACCATAAGGACAGCACCAGTCATCCAAATTGCGGATGTTTCCATATCTCCATCCTCTTCAGGTTCTTCCTGATCAACTCCTGATAGTAAAAAGCTCCCCACAGTCAAAGCCATGATCGCAGCTCCTCTTCTGTCATCGCCGTTGTGCACCTCTTCTGATGCTTCACCACTGATCTGTTCGGGATCTTCAAATGATCCACCCCGCTTGATGCCCAAGTCCTCCAAGAACTTGTAGAAAGCTTGACCACTAAGCGGCTTCGTCAAGCCATCCGCCACCAACTCCGTGCCCCTCAAATGGAGAAGCTTCCATACACCCCCGTCCAAGGCCTCTTTAAGGAAGGATGCACGGACACGAAGATGTCTTGTCCGCCATGTTGATGTTGCAGTGCCATGGGCCATGCTGATTGCGGCAGTGTTGTCGCCGTAAATCACTCGCTCCAGCACCTTGGTATCCATGTCTTCGCCCAACATTGAGCAAATCAAAGCTTCCATAGACCTGCCAGCATTCAAAGCCTCTCCATACGAGACCAACTCCGCCTCGGCAGTGCTGTAGGTCACAAAAGGCTGTTGTGATGCCAACCAAGCTATTGGCACGCCTCCCAAGCACACCACCAGTCCTTGTAGGCTTCGATGTCGGCTCCCTACGCCAAAGGCTATGTCAGAGAAAACTTCCAAAAGGTTCTCATGCCTCTCAATCTTCAACTGGCCGCGTTTTCCCCAGCTATCTTTCTGAACACCTTTGGGGTAGTGCAAGCCGCCAGGAACTCCACGGATGTATTGCATCACCGCCTTGGAGATTTCGATCGATCGGCACGGATTCTTTGTGCATAGCCGGCAAGCCGTTGCCACACTCATAGCAATGTCCGGTCGGGTTCTCGTTGAGAGCCAAAGAAGCGCACCCGCCATAGACTGAGCAGTTCGTACATCTTGCGGCTGAATGTCGCCCGTTGGCAGCTCATCATCTTCTGTCAGGCGCACATGCGGAAAGTCAGTTGACTTCTCCACTCCAAACCGCTGAATCATCTCCTGCTCATACTTTTTCTGACTCACAATGAACCCATTTGCCAGACCATTGTCATCCAAGACGCTCTCAATCTCAAAACCACAGTATTTGACCACTCTTCCCTCCCCCGTCTTCTCGACTTCTGAGATGGCCCAGACCTCTGCAATAGCTGTCGTGGCTGCATCCAAACATCCCTCCTCAGCTGTGAACAGCAGGTCGTCAACATAGACCGACATCAGCCCTGTCCAATGGATTTTGCCTGACTCGTTGTCAGCCTCTTCCATCCTCCAAACGTTTTGATCAGGCGTCTTTCGAAAGACTCCATCCACTGTTCGGCCTTGTCGTTGTCGTTGCCACTTGATCGTCGGCAAGACATCATCCCTATGTAGGGACCAATCTCTGGGAGACGACGTGAGGCCATAAAGCGCCTTGTCGATCAGCCAGATGTGCTCGCTGGTTGCCAGTCCAAGCTTTTTGTACACCACTGGGATCTCCATAGCGGTCAATTTTTGGTTGTTTCTTCGGGGTGCGTTCAAGAAGGCTGTAGATATATCTGTACCTCCCACCACCCATTGTTTGTTGGCCCCAACTCGCAGTTGAGTCCGCACTTGCTGACTGTCAACACCACCTGCGTAGTGCTCATTTTGGTCAGGTGCTGCATAGTTGCCACACACAACTGCCCTGCTCTTGAACGCTCCAGTTCCTGACTTCCTCGTGTGGACCATCTTGCCAGGAAGTATCTCTATGGGCAGCTTCTGCTCACTGGCCATCTTGTGGAGCTCCTCCTTTGTCACCTGCCGAACTGCACGTTTTCTATGAACAAGTTGATCATATTCATGACGAATCGATGGGGCCCATGCTTGAAGATCAGACCACACCTCGTTGTTGCTGATGGTCTTGGTGACGAGGAATTCCATGTCGAGGCTCTTCTGAGTCTCTTCCAAGTGAGCGGTTTGAGCATCAATCAACTGGTCTTCAATCATGACCTTCATGTTGATCGCATCCGTCAGCGTGCTCAACCACAAAGATTGGTCGGTGGAGGTTCCATCCAATTTTTGAAGTTCTTCTCCAACATATGTAGCCACATTTGCATGGAGGACTCTCAGTGACGCTGGACTTGCATATGAGGCCACCGGGTATGAGCCACCAGCCCGGTTGTTTGGCGCCTCCTCCATATCCCCCACTCCAATCCACCAATCCTCCTCCATACACTGAAGAATCCTTGGTGAACTCTGCGTAGAGGTTTGAGTCTCCAGCGACCAGCTGTCACTTGAAGCACCATCATGTGGTACAACCTCGTTTTCAAACAAAGTTGGATGTCGCGCCACAATCTTCTCCTCCCCCTCAATGTCCAACATTGACACAATTGGTTGCGGAGCTTTGTGGCGCATTCGATGTGCCGGTCGTACATTCTCCCTTTCTGGAAGGTACAGAACCTGATCCTCCACAGCTGGTTGTTGAGCCTCTGGAATGATGATGTCATCGGTGAAAAAGCATCTATTGGTAGTGACCGACTGAACATAATAGCCAGTGTTGGTCAAAGATGAGTACACATCTGGGCCCAAGACGATGACTTCTTCACGTACTTCACGCCATGGCGCATATCGTGATTGCCATGACTTCCTCAATGCAAAGGCTTTGGCCCCAAACCGCAGC